TACTCACGTGTTTGTGGTGACACTGCCACATTACTCACGTGTTTGTGGTGACACTGCCACATTACTCACGTGTTTGTGGTGACACTGCCACATTACTCACGTGTTTGTGGTGACACTGCCACATTACTCACGTGTTTGTGGTGACACTGCCACATTACTCACGTGTTTGTGGTGACACTGCCACATTACTCACGTGTTTGTGGTGACACTGCCACATTACTCACGTGTTTGTGGTGACACTGCCACATTACTCACGTGTTTGTGGTGACACTGCCACATTACTCACGTGTTTGTGGTGACACTGGCGTAGACGAACCTACTGCACGCCAGTCACATAAAAGTAGCACATACAACTATGGACAGTACATAGTAGTTGTTAATAATAATAAATGGCTGCATTACTGGTTTATGTATTTACTATACTATAGTTTTTGTCATTATTTGGAGTGTACTCTTTTTACTTATAAAAAAAAAATTTGCTGTAAGTCCGCTGTGATACACCAGCAGCCACCATACATCTTCCCCGTGTCTCCTTATTGCATCATTTTCTCTTGTGCTTGATTTAATTTCGTGTTTGTACCGTAATATGCTGTGCAGGCTTGCAGCCCAGGAGCAACAGGCTACCCCATCTAGGTTTGTGTAAGTGCATTCTGTGATGTTCACACAATGACGAAATCGCCTGACAATGAATTTCTCAGAACATATCCCCAGTGTCAATCGTTGCATGACTGTATTTATTTACTTAGTTAATGTTTATTCAGCACCTGTTAAGTGGCAGGTGCAGTGTTAGGGGCCATGGATATAGGAGTGAAAGCTTACCACTGCCCCCCGATATACCCACACAGTGAGATCCTGGGAGGACTATTATAATGTGTGACAAGACTTAGAATGGAGGTGGGACCTTGGAAGGTCTGTGAGAGTGACTAAAGAGAGACCTGCCCAGGAAATTACAAATAAACATTCGGGTAGTTTAGCCAACTGAGCTGTTTGTACCTTCCGTTTTGAAGCAGAGCTCAGAAAAAAATCATCGGAGCTCCCTTTCACAATTTTCTGTTTTGTTTCCCAGGAACAAGCATCTTGCGTGATTGGGCACAACAGGAGGCAGACCACTAAGAATCAGCCTGTCCTGGCAGATTTATTTCTCCACAGAATAAACCAAGGCATTGGCTAGTTATATATTTAAATACTAACAACCCGTGCAAAGGAAAAGTTAATGCTGGCGGCACAGCTAGCCGGGGCTGGCTTGGTCATTCATAGCTGGAGAAGCCAGCACCCAACTGGGGAAGGAGCCCCCAGAGCCAGTCTAGCACAGGGAGGTCCCTCGCGCGACTGAAGTGCCCTCCTCCAAGGGCTTTTATTCCATTGCATTCATGTTAACTGGAGGCACGATAGTAATGCATGTGGGCCAGAATTAATTTCTCTGCTCTAAATAAAATACGACTCACTGAAGGCTTCCTTTGTACAGGACATTCTGATGGCAGTTAAGAAAGGCTTTAGGCGTAGGAAGCTGCTGCTCTTGCTAGTAAGAGCAGAGTAGAACAGGGACGGAGAGGGAGTGGGTCTGCGTGGGTGAGGGCGGGAGATTTCCTTGCCAACCTGTTAGAACTCAATGTGGCAGGGAGTGCACACCAGGGACCGGCCTAAGGTAGGGTCCTAGATCCAACACCTAATAGCTGTGAGGCCTTGTGCAAGTTATTTAACTTCCCTTACTTCAGTTTCCTCATATGTAAAATGGGGATGGTGATGATGATGATGATGATCTACTTCATGGAGTTGTTGGGACGATTAAATGAGTTAAAATACTTGCAAAGTGCTGAGAAGAGGTCTTGGCACATAAGAAATAGTGAATAAATACCTGCCATTATTATTGTTGTTGCTAGGCAGATAGGTCCCTAGGAAGCCACAGAATTAAAATGAGGAAATAAAGGGGAATCTTTCCTAGGTCGCGATCTTGGGCTGAAACATGTCATGTTGTGCTTTATTTTATAATTTACAAAGAATCTTTCTATGTTATCTCTGTTTTTTAATCTGTAAAGTGGTAAAAATAGTACTTCCTATATGAGGCTCCTAGAAGGATTAAAGAGATACTTCATGTAAAGAGCTCAGTAAATTTTAGCTATTACTGTTCAGTAGTATTCCCTGGTACCTAGTAGATGCTCACTCAACATTTATTGAGTGAATGAATAAATATTATCCTCATGAGAGCCCTATAGAGTTTATTATTGCCATTTTTTTAAGGTTAAAAAAAAAAGTTTAGAGAAGCTGGCAGTTTGCACAAGGTCAGCCAGCTAGTTAAGAGCCCTGACTCCAACTCTAGGTCACGTTCCAAGATCCAAAATTTGACTTGTAAACCCGGATTTGATGGCCATTTACTTAAGGTATTAACTTTGGTGGCTTTGCCCCCTAAACATCAGAGCCTAGACCCATGTGGAGAAGTAATCATAAGCAGCCTTCTAAGGGCATCTTGAAAAACAAAAACAAAATGAGGCTACAGATAACATGTATTTTACCCCAATTAAAAATAAATTCAAGTTTAACTTTCAAACAATGGAAAATTATGTTTGTCTGCAACTGAGTGCTGGTAGAACACAGTAAGTATGTGTGTGACTGGGTGCGTGAATAGGAAAAAAATGGTCATCAGGAAACCCTGGAAGCAGGTGACTAGTTGGTGTGACTGCTCTCTGTGGCCATATCGGCTGTGGCTGTGATTTTACAGTGTGCAGTAGAATACACGTCTGCTAGTAAAATTGCTCCTGCTTCGTGTGATGGAATGATAAGCAGCATCAGCTTTTCAGTCCCCTAAATAGTGCCCTGTTCTCCCCCTGGCAGAACTGGACAGCTGCTGTGGCTAAGGAGCTCCAGGCAGGGCACAGTCCTCACTGGGAGAGCCAACCAGGGGCCGGCCCGTGGCTCTCACACTCCAATCCCCAGCGCCAGAGGAAGGGACCACAGCAGCAGGCCTTCCGACTCCTTCCTGGGGTAGACCCTGAAATGAACTTAAGCAGGAAACTCTCATAAAAGAAATTCTCCAGAATAATAACAAAGCTGGGAGCTGCAACCATTTTCAAGCACAGGATCTCTCAGCTGCCTTTCACTCTCGGTATACAGTTTCTGACACGGCCCTCACACCCCAGAGTTAAGACATCAAAATACACCCCTGAAGCTGAATCCCAGTTCTGAATCAAACCTTCTCCAGCTGTGACCATTACCACAACCCTCTGCAGTGGGTAGAACCATTAGATCCAAAATGGGGACCCTGGTTTGGGGCCTAGGGTATAAGAAAAAGGCAATGGAACTTGACTTTGAAAGGCAAGACAGTTAAAGGGGCTGCCCACCAGAGAGTTCAGGTGGGAAGCTAGAGGAAGCCTCTCGTAAGTTGGTTTACTCTTCTTTCTGAGATCACCCTGCTGGGCCTGCTAGGGCTGAATGCTCTGGAAATCCTTCTGCCTCTGCTTGAACCCTTTCCTGGGTTCCCCAGCACTCAACGCCTCAAGCTCTCTGCACAGCAAAATCTATGCAAAATTCATGACCCAGGCTTAAGAAGTGCACAAAAGAAGTCTGATAAAATACACATTTATTAGAAATTTTTCAGCAGCATCATTTCCATTTGCTTTTCTAATCAAAATACATTTCAAAGTAATTACAATGAGCACTCAAAATGTGAGCAACAAATACTCTGAGAACTCAGGAATAAAATAATCAGTAGTACATGTTTCATTCATTCATTCATTCATTCATTCATTCATTCATTCATTCATTCATTCATTCATTGTTTTTAAAATGTGCAATATATCAGCACAGAGGACCAGGAATGCTACTTATGAAAATTGAATATTCCTGCCATGGTACTGGCTGTAGAGACTATACCATTACTCAAGAGAAGAGCTGGACTCTACAGTTCACTGATATAAATGTATGATTTAGCCAAAGGACCTTAAAAAAAGGCTCAATAAGAACAGTTTCCCTTTCTATTCATGTTCAACTTAGGAAATAAATAGCTATTATAGTGATATTTTCGCACACAGAAACAAAAACATATTTGAGGCTCTGCTTAACCACTATTCATTTCTCACCGAGCTTTATGAAGACACAGATTTGGTTTTAATAACTCAGCTACTGAGCTCCAGTTTCCAGGGTAGCTGACCACCTGGGATGTGAGGCAAGGACGTGAATCGCCCAGTGGTCCATCAAGTGAAACAGGTCATTCAATTAGAAAAAACTCTTTACAAACTAACTTGTACTTAATGACGTGGGATTTTTTTTCACAGATATTACAAATAAAAATGTTGCCTTGGCAACTAGTGAGATACTCATGGAACAGTGTTCTGGTGAGACAATGCAAATACTCAGAAGGGTGAAACTGAATCGCGCTTTCCACCTTCTGCATCATCTGAGGTGTCTATAGTCAAATCCACCCAGCTGTCTGTACAACACACAGTGCCCTCTATCAATATACCTATTAATCAGGTTAACTGTGATATTGAACATTAATTAAGTGCTGATGTGTAAAAACAAACCCAAGAGTGGGACCTGGATTCCCTTCCTGGATAATTCTACAGGGAACACGAGTGGTGCCTCCTCTTTAGACCTGCTAAGGACCCCAAGTCAATTCCTTTCCCTGTTGGATCATTTATGGTGATGACCACCAACCAGTTCAGCAGGTAGTTTCATTAGCAAATTTAATGATGTGATCATCTTTCCCGAATTTACAAATGTACAACATATTTATAGCATTACCTTTAGATAGAGCTGTTCAGTGCAAAGATATACACATAGTACATTGTGATAATTATTTGTAAAAATATGAGATGGCATTAAGTAAAAAGAAAAAAGAAAAAAGACACACAGGCATAGTTTCCAGACACTTCCAACTACAGGTGAACAGGGGAAAAAATATACTTTTTTAATAAAGTACTGAGCGTTAACTTTTTTCATCTGTTTGTAAAAAATACATGTGCAAAAGTGTGTTTCTGATTATTCCCTAAATAACTGTAGCACAGCTATATCTCGGAGTCTTCTTTAACAAGGGTTGCTGTGTCTTTAAAAGTGTCTTCTGTCGCAGAATAGGCAGGAGCTGGGGTCCTTTTCGTTTGAGCTTTAGTAGGGGGAGAAGGGGACGGGGGCAGAGGAGGAGCCCCAGCAGCACTTTCCTTTTGCTCACCCTCCATCTGAGACCACAAGGAAACATGAATTAGCCATTGATTCCCCCAACGTGACGGGAAACAGTTTTGTGTAAAGAAGACGAACCTTTGCCAGTTTGCTCAGAATATTCCGATTGTATATCCAATTTAGCCAAGCAAGTTATTGCTAAGAAGGAATGCCAGTGCTAAGAAAAGTTGTTAAAAATTTACCTCTGCGTAGATTGGGTTTTCGAAGTTGGTAGTTTGTTTCAGTTTTCGTTTGAAGATATTCCACTTTGTTGCCTAAATGAAAAAGGGGAATCAGAAAACTGGCCGGCCTGGCTCAGCGGTTGAGCATCAGCCTAGGATCCAGAAGATCGTGGTTCGATTGCCGGTCAGGACACATGCCTGAGTTGTGGGCTCGATCCCCAGTAGGGGGCGTGCAAGAGGCAGCTGATCAATGCCTCTCTCATCACTGATGTTTCTATCTCTCTCTCCCTCTCCCTTCTCTCTCTGAAACCAATAAAGACATATTTAAATTTAAAAAAAGAAAACGTTCAGAGATTTTTTATGGGCTCCCCTGCCCCCCCATCTAGGTTTTAAAACTTTTTCTTACTGAAGGAAAAAGCAATTTGGGAGCTAGGACCATGTGACCTGGCCCATGTGGTAAATTGTTCAATTCTTCTTCTGATGGTCCCTGAACAGTAACTAAAACTCTCTGAGCTCTTTTCACTGAATAATTTAAAAATACTTCTTTGGTGTGAAATGTGTAGCTCATAGAATCTGTATCCATTAATATCTAGAAGCTTTGACAGAGACAGGCAAGAGGTTTCTTTGGGGGCTGCCTGAAATTTTAAAGAAAAAGCCAGATTGTAACTCTCATTTCGTAAAGTGACATCTTGATCCTTGGTCAACTCAAGCAAGCATATCCCATCTTCCCTCACCATTTCCGCCTATAATCATAGTAATAACAGTGATAACAAACACAACTAACATTTCCTGAGAGCTTGCTATGAGTCAGGGACTATTCTAAGAGTTTTACAAGTTTCTATTTAATTTTCCCAATAATGAGCCAGGTGCTCTTACTACCTTCATTTTACAGATGGGAAAACAGAGTCATAGGAAGATCATATGACTAAATTGTAGGTAGAAGAGTCCTATATGACTGTAGGACTCAGAAGGCCATAAACAAAAGACCCCAGAGAGAAATCATCCTAGGCTATGACAGGTGGTCTGTCTTGCTGAAAAGTTGCTGGTGGTGGCAATGCTGGCATAGCTCTGGCTGCCAGGTGAAAAGGGACAGGGAACAATAGATGGGAAATAGTCAGCCTTCTCTATTGGGTAGCTTTTATGGGGTACCTCTTGCTTTGTGAAAATAAGTGGGGAGCACATGACTACAGGAGAAGAGACCATTCCTGTTAATACACATTTAAGTGTGCACCTACTTTACACACGGTTACCACCAAGGGGAAGATGAAGACAATCGTGTCAGAGACCAACCTCTGGAAGCTTATACTTAAATGGGAAAGGCAAAAACTCTTAAAAGTCATTGCTTCAGTATGGAATGGCTACTTGGAACTAAGCCATTACTAACCAAAGAAATGATGACGATTTTCATTTTTATCTACTTGGGAAATGCAATGCATGTCAGCATGACTTTTAGAAAATGACAGAACTGAGTTACAGGAATTCATGTTCCTAACTTTGAGTCCTTTGAGCAGATTTACTGATGAAAGATACATTTCTGAGTGTCTTTGGCACATTTATGTCAACCTAGGGTGATCCTAACCAAGTGCCCCTACTACTTTTATTTTGACCTGAGCAAATGGAACAGAAACCAATGTCTGAAGAACTTGAAAATCCAAAATGACTTCCAAGTTAACTCTGCAAATGCCAGTTCTGTTTATAGATCAGGTAGTTTGAGAAATAAGGGTTTTATAAAGTGGTAAGATTTCTAACTACCCTTAGACTTGTGTTTCTTTGTATCATTTCACAGAAGACATAGAACCTTAGAACTGAGACATCCCAGATCCTATTGTTCTCAACTGGGAAGTGGGGATGGGGGTACCTGGGATCACAGTGCATTGGGGACACAGTTAGTGGACAGGGGCCAGGAATTCTAAAATGTCCTGGAATGCCAAGAATAGTTTTATACAGCAAAGAACCATCCCAACCAATATGCCAACAGTGCCCTCAAGGAGAAGCATTAAGGACTCTAGTGCCCAGAGGAAAAAGAGTTTGCCCAGAATCAAGCAGCTAGATCTTACATACCTTCTTATGTGTCCATTAAAACTAGTGATATATTATCCGTCAATACAAAGTTTTACATGAATTTATTTATTGAATTTCTCTCTGCAGACCAAATAATCTAAAAATTTTGAGGGACCTGTAGGAGTGGTAGAGAAGCTCTATCTAGTGTGGGGTTATTTTTTTTAATCTCCAGGATTAAACACTGTGCCTGGCACACTGAGGGCAATAATGTTGGTTGAACAGTGAGATGCATGGACAGATAGATGAAGAGGGTATGAATTAGTGCCATCTAGTGGTAAAGATAGGTGACAGCAGTAGAACTAAGGATGGCAAACCGTTAAGGGAACAAAGATGTACACTGTGGAAAAACTGCATTACACAGGAAAGGAAAGGGTCTTCTATGTGTATGTATCCTTGACACAGTGAGTCCTTTATTCACATTAAGTCATTTTCTCAAATTAAATGCCTCTGGTCTGAAGATGCTGGATCCAAAACCTGTTGCCCTTCTCTGCATGATCTCCCAGGTCACAAGGAGCATCATTCCCATCTCAGTGTTAGGATGTAGATTTATTTGGTGGGGAAAATTTCAACTTAGGATTTTTTAAACATTATCTTTCCTCACTGTCTACACATCTTGGGATCTGTGAGTCCACTGAGGTCTCCTTAGTTTGCCTAGGATAAATAAACCCAGCAATTCCAAAGTCCTCTCCAAATTCCCTATCATTTCAGGGGGTAGCCCATTACCTGAGTTCCATCAGCACTTGCAGAAGCTGACTTTGTGTCTGGAGCTACCTCAGCAGGGTTCACGGGACTTTCATAGTTCTTGTTATCTACATTTTCAGATGCAGTCACCTGTGTAAATATTAGAGGCCATTATCCAGTGTTGAAAGAATTTTTGCTGTAACAGTTCTTATCAAGTCTTTGGTTCTGTTTTTCCCACAGACTTGTTCAGGCACCAGTTTCATTATATGAAACTCAGGGCCCAGGAACAGAAACTATTCCCAATCTCCCCCAAATCAGGAGCACCAGCTACTGAGTCGTCCATCTCATGCCTTAGTCCTGGGAAGCAAGTACATCCACCACTGGTCACACTTTCACTTAGTAACAACAGTTTCTATTATCTTCTCTATGCCCCCTTATTCCCAATGTTGACCATAATTTTGGGTAAAAGATATTCTGGTTGTACACAAGCAGCCAAAATCCTAGGAGAACAGCATAAATTATTCCCCAACTCATTGGTGAACTAAGAATCTTACCTTCGGATATTTAGAATAAAATTAATAATTTCAGAGGACTGCTTAACAGGGCTTAAATTTATATAAAGTTTTTTTGACTACAGTTTACATTCGATATTATTCTATATTAATTTCAGATGTACAGCATAGTGGTTATAAGATCATGTACTTTACACAGTAGTCCCCAATGTTTCAAGTACCCACCTGGCCCCATACATAGTTATTATATTATTGGCTACCTTCCCTATGCTGTAATTAACATCTGTGGCTATTCTGTAACTACCAGGGGTTGAATTTTTTAAATGAGGCATAATGGAATTAAAACTCCTCTAGACATTCCTTCTTAAACCCAAATTACCATGGATATATAATCAATAAACTACAGGATAGAAATTCACTCCTTTTCCTATATTTTTATATTCACTGCTTCGTTTCTTCTCAAACTTGGGTATGTGTTTGTAAACATGGCCTCATTTTATTTCAAGTGAAAATGCCAAATTAAATGTCATATCTATGTTATCATGTGACTAATTTGCTATCTGGATATCAAAGGATTAGGTGAAATGCTTTCAAGATTCAAATATTTCTGATCTTAAGAAAGCTATTCGTAAAATAAACATTTCTATCTTGTACCGATACCTTGCGAGTACAAAAGAAGTTCAGGAGCTAACAATAAAACTGTTTTTCTCTGAGGCCGTAGTGGCTTTGACAAAGGAAGTATAGGCTAGCCGTTGACAGGCACTGGAAGTGGTGTTGGGCTATTGACCTTGACCTAATGGAAAGTGTTTCCCTCCACATCTCCCTGCTCCTCTGCAAGATAAGGGCGTAGTGGGCTTTACCAAAAGAAATTTAGATATCTGCCTCCCGATGCTGGAGATGTTTTTACTTTTCAGAAAAGTATGAGAACGGCAAACATAGAGAGGTCACCTCAAGTCACACATTTGGGTACAGCCAGCCCCCCAAATCTCTGCATGATGACCTGGCAATCATTCGTTCATTCATTTCACTAATATTTACAGGGAGCAGCATGAGTCGGGCACTATGTTTGCCAAGCCTCTGAATGGACGCAGAAGGGGTCCTCTTGCTTAGAATGACCACTCAGAATGAAAAGGTTCTTGGTCAGCACCCCCAAAACGGTTGTCAAACCTCAACAACTGTGCAACAAAACAGGATTCTGATTACATTCAGGTCTCATGTCCTTGGGTCAGTCTTGTTACTGCAGAAAGTGAAGCTGAGGATTGGACCACGTGCTTCCTTCCATGTGAGGGAAGGTTAGAGCCCTAAGAGGGCTTCATAATTTCATAGAACAAGATCCAGCAGCAGTGGCACCTGAGAGAAAGGCCTGTGCAACTTCTCACCTGGCTTTGCTGAGCCTCTTTGACAGCACTGTCCCTGGTTGCATACATTGGGTTTTCAAAGACTATGGGCTGCTTCCCCATCTCCATGGTAAAGTGATCGCTCTGATAAAGGAAAGAAAGATCATACCGCACTGAGCAGGTTCACACAGAGGAAGGTGCTCTCCTCCTGCCTAGATGCATGCTAGGTGCTACGTCAAATGTACCCCCCCCCCCA